CTTAATTCATGTATTGTGAAAGTTAAAACAGCCTTCTTGAGCCTATGACCTCTGCGACGTCATAAGAGGGTTCTATTCGGTCTGAAAGACCGTGTGTACCGTGCCACAGTGAGGGCCGTCCTGCTCTATCGTAGCGAGTATTTGAGGCACCTTTAAGCATTTGGTCATCGCTACCTTCGGAGCATTGCTAGTGTCGGACGATGCCGGCGTGTCCGCAACGATGGTGTATGTAAACGAATACTAGGCAGTGATAACCAGGCCAGTTTCTTAGTGCAACTGATGACATTGAGTAAGCTGCATTGACTCGGACCCACGCTACGCATCACCGATTACCGCGTGAGCCACCTTTTTTGCCGAGTGTAGGGTGGCACACGCTTCAAGTTGGGCAACACTTGACTTGGTAGCTGGAAATGAAGTCACTGACGACCAAACCGGTTGCTGATGGTCCACCTTGCCTTCCAGGCTGGAGTCCGCGCGATCCGCCTTGTGCTCACAGCCAGCACCATTGGCGCTTTTTTGTCTCCTAGTCTGTTGCTATGTTATCTGCGGCGTAATGGCTGATTCTGATACGGGGCAGTGAAAGCCACAATAAAGCAGTCTTGCCGATTCCGCCTTATCTTTGCACGACAGTCTACTGTTTGTAACTATACTTTGTGACAAGGTCTCGACGCCTTGACTCTGGGTGTTTGCTTAGGGCATTAAGGTTTCCCTCTAAGCCCCCTTCTCTCTTATTACTTTTCATTCCTGTGGTCGTTGTGGTTATACGACTGCAAAGCATCAGTTCAAATGGCGGATGTGTTGCTTTTTTGATGCTGTAGATTTGAGCTCAAAATCGCTTCAGGCAACTGGACTCCAGCATCTGCACCTGAAGCCTGTACTGCTGTTATATGGTCTGTCATCATTGCGTGATGACGGGGACGACCGCCATTGCCTTCGGTGAGCCGCGACTTCAAAATGGGGACAGTGGTCTGATTCAGCCGGTTTGTCGACTTGGGCGCGCGACCTTCACAATCTCCTATACCATTAGTCATTTTAACCATAGCTAAGAGCTATGCATAGAATTAATTTTTCCGTTCTGTTAGCCATAGCTGATGGGAAGATGTAGCTAAACAATAGGAACGACGCACTAGCTTCACCCGCTGCTCATCCAGCTTAATTGAGCTCCCAAGTACTCGCACATCTGTGGTAGTTCATCGGCATCTATTGGAGACCAGTGTTCTCCGCTTGCCTACCGAGCGCAATTCATGCAGCGTATCTGTTGCGGGTCATTGACGCATCATAGCCGAGGATACGGGATTCGCAAGCTTTTCACTGAACCCGAACCCAGATTTTTTCAATCGATGTCTACAGTGACCAATTTGTTATGAGAAAATGGGGTGCAAAATCAGCGCTGTCATTAACACCCCTTTATCTATTACTTACTCCATACTTGGTACCCCCTTTTGAGTACTAATCACTGCTTTCTCCCGTTCAGGGGTCCGTAGTGTAAATAGTTCAGGCAACTGACTCGCAACTCCGCCGCGGGCTCGAGCCCTCAGTCTTGACTAAACTTCGGCGATCTGATAGGACCTCAACTTGTGTACGACCACTTGCGGTTACTTGCTAGCGGCGCATCGATACAGCAAACTGGGATGTCGTTGAGACCTCTTATGTTTCACCTATGTGATGCGCTATTCTTTTCTTTCTTACTTGTTGGTAGACAGCTGTCTTGTTCATTATTGTTGTATGTGTAATGCGGATGATGAGGAAATCGACTGATCTATTGTCCAGTATTTAACCGTATACAGTTAAAAAATAATGTGTCAGCTGTACGTTGTAACGGCGCTTCGCTGTCGCGCGACCACCACCAGTCGCACGTGAGCCGGATATGCCGCGAGAACGCTCATCCCTACGCGGATTCGTACCGGTGAGCTTATGGTTGCAAGCCAGGCTCGCAGACCACTCGACCACCGGCCGACAGTTTACCCGGCTATAGAGCCTACTTTATTGGATCATACGCTTCATTGACGTTGTGTTAGCTGTAACATGAACATTTTTCTCAGAAGATAGTCCCAAAGACCATGGGCACGTTTGGTCGGATCTACTTGGCCGAAATTCGACCTCGGTGGTGTTGGTGCTATGCGTTTCTGTCCCATGCGGCCACTTAACTTCCCCCTCAAGTCACAGTTTTGTTTCCTTTTTTATACCTTCATTCGCTCTGGTTATATTCTAGCTCTAGCTAACGTGTAGAGTGATGTCAATGTTGCCTAAGCACATCAGGACACCACTGCACATGTTCTCGACATTGTCGAGTTACATGCACCGTGTGTGCAATGAGCGTATCCGACACCTTATTTATGGCGCAGGAGGAAGAAGCGAACCGCTCAGCACCGTTATTTCACGCACCACGCTCCGATGGCTAGACCACGTGTTGCGCGTACCAGCCCACTGACTCCCGCGACGTGCGTTGTTTGCGCGCCGTGGGTGGCCAAATGTTGACTTAGTCAAGAGGAATGAATGCCCTTACTTCGAAGCTGGCCTCGGCTGGAGTCTCTCCTCTCCCTGGTTGGGGACCAAAGGGTGATGAACACGCTTGATTAGATACACTTGTTGAAATGGTTGGGAGTCGACCTCAATGACGTTTATGTGGTGAGTTTCTTTGTGCCTTCCCTCTTAACCTCCCCTTCCAACCTCGATCTCATTTATTAGGCATAATATAACTTTTTGCAGCACAATAGCCGGATGTTAGCTATCCGGAACGACGTCCATCCGTTCCTGGTGACACAGCCGGCGTGCCTCTGTTCCATGTTTTTTCTTCTCTTTTGTATTGCGGCACAAAAGTTGAGGTGTTTTCACCTGCAACTAACGTGCCCACACAACACATGGATCTTCGCATCCTTTCCCCTGACACTTCCTCCTTTTTGTTGTTGTTATTCATGTGTTGTGGCACTCTGCCAAATGTTTATTGGTCAAGTGTTATATATATATATATATATATATATATATATATATATATATATATATATTGATGTTACATTCATGATGCTTCTTCACCGCAGTTGGGCTAAACCAACTTACACTTAAACTAGGTCTTTTAATGTGGATAAAATTCATTACATGTTATTTGGTTTGTTCTGCATACTTCATAATCCTCTCCTTACTTGCACGCGTCGCTCACGCAAATTGTGGTAAACTTGCGTAATTTTACCGCTTTGGTATTTTTTAAATAACTTTCGGACATTTTGTACTTATCACGGATTCACTTATAACCAATTTCTTCTATATGCTCATTTAGCGAGTATTTTTGTCGTCATATGCGATTACTTTAATCGATATCGGCATTTCGAATGATTGGCTGTTGTTTGACATCCCAAGTGTGGCTGCGCTTGATGTGCATGTTGACAAGGTGCCTACCTGTCTATTACCCACTACCTCGTCCAGACTGGCTCCAGGAGACAGTTGGTCGTTGCTGGAGGGGACGGGGTGCACGGTCCTTGTGGTCGTGCTGGGCTCGAAGAGTGGTTCCATGCACTCAGTATGGAGCGGACTACGGTCCAGCCACCACATTGTGTGCATTTGCTTCCCTAAATACAGCGTGCTTGTGTTTGTCTGTGAAGGAGTGTGGGCCGGCTCCGTTGATGAAACGTGGCTCCTATCCGCATGCCTCCCGGTCTTATTCCTTCGAGTTTACACTGGATATGGTGTGTGTGGATGGAGCTGTGGGTGGTGCAGCGCAAGCCATCCATAGTCCCTCTGTAGGCGCAGGCGTCTTGTGGCTGACCACAGTGACAGGCAAATCCGAAACCGGATGCCGCCAACGTAAATATATATATATATATATATATATAAATATATATATATATATGTAGGAATATATTGTCTGTGTAGGGTGCCCCTTGTGAGGCCGTGTTGGATTCAAAGATTCTTTGGGGGGCGGGGGGGTCGATCCCGCAGTTTGGGCACCAACTTATTTAAACTACGTCTGTTCAGCTGATACCTTTATTTCAGGTGTGGGTTTGTTTTGCCTTAATAATTTTCCATTAACTACCCGTTTTCACTATTCCTTATTTACGTAAAGCTTGTTTCGTTTGTAGCATTTTTGTAATCTTGTCATTCGGAACATATTTCCTTCCTTTCACGAGGATTTGTTGTAACAACTTATTCGTATGCTAATTTAGCGAAGAGTTTATCACCGTATCTTATGCATTATGATTTATTTATTTCTTGTCGTTCCAATGATTGGCTGTTGTTTGATATCCCCGGTGTGGTTGCGCTTGATGTGTATGTTGACAAGGTGCCTACCTGTCTATTACCCACTACATCGTTCATACTGGCTCCAGGAGCCAGTTGGTCGTTGCTGGAGGTGACGGGGTGCACGGTTCCTTGTGGCCGTGTTAGGCTCAAAGAGTGGTTCCATGCACTCAGTGTGGAGCGGACTACGGTCCAGCCACCGCCTTGTGTGCGCTTGATTCCCCAACTACAGTGTGCTTGTGTTTGCCTGTGAAGGAGTGTGGGCCGGCTCCGTTGATGAAACGTGGTTCCCATCCGCATGCCTCCCGGTCTTATTCCTTCGGGTTTACACTGGATATGGGGTATGTGGTTGGAGCTGTGGGTGGTGCAGCGCAAGCCATCCATGGTCCCTCTGTAGGCGCAGGCGTCCTGTGGCTTGCCACAGTGACAGGCAAATCCGAAACCGGATGCCGCCAACCATATATATATGTATATAAACGTATGTGAGGCAATGTGTCATTTACCTGCAGATTTTATATAGGCTAACTGGATAATTAACTTCTTTTTTCATGCATTCGCGTAATTCTTTGAATCGCCTTCAGAACGGCCAACTTGAGTCCCTGATTGTTCATTTTAAGTGAGCACTTGTCTTGGCATAAACAATCTGATTTTGCCAAAGATACGTTGGAAAGTTATCACTACAAAACTGAAAACTGTCAATTTTAAGATTCCTTAACTGCTTTTTTTATTTATTCATCAAAATGAACCTATTGAAATTTCCACCTTACTAGAATGCTACAAGAAGGCACGGATGCGTCACTCCAAACTTCATGTGTTTCCAGAAAACAACGCACAGAACTTTTTCGAACAGGTCAAGTCACTGGATGCACTATATGGCTCACAGGTAAATTTTTTGGCAGGATCAGCGGTGCCAACGAAAGGATAACCTTCTATTATTTTCCTACAAATTTTAAACTTTTTGTGATTGCTAGGAAATCCTTCTATTTCCTGCAGTGTATCTTGCTTACTTCCCCTGGCAATATGCAAAACGGGGACCAGTTATATACTTTATGTTCAATCGAATTCAGAGCTCTTGTTATGCTTCCATTTTAACCGCTTTTCGTGGATTTTTCGTGTTCCAAATCCTATCCTCTCTTTGTTGTATTAAACCAAGTCGGTATACACGTAATGTGTCGCTGCTTTTAGTTGCATTCTGGTTTCTTCGTTTTCCTCTTTTTGTCGGTCTGTCATCTCTGCCTCTACCTTCTCTTGCTCAGCTGTGATTTAACTCATCTGGTCTGTAGTCAATTGACGTATCATTGAATTTCGTTTGAGTTTATTTTGCTCGGTACTCCTGGTTTATTCCGTTCAGCGGTCGTGTCCAATCCATATACACTGTATATAGACGCTTCGTATATTCCAGACTTCAGGTAGCCATACAGCGACCAACCGGTGGCCGAGTGGTCCGCGCGCCTGTTTCGCAACCGTAAGATCACTGGTTCCAATCCGCATATGGGTGGGCGTCCTCACGGTATAGTCAGCCGACGTACTACTAGTGGTGGTTGCGCGGCAGCGAAGCGCCGTTACGGCGTACAGTTGGCGATTTATTTTTTTATTACACTATGATGCCGTTTCGTCCCACCAGTATATGCAGTTCCCAAAATTCGGAGTTCCAACCTTACGCTGTTGAGCTATAGAAAACGGTGACAGCTTACGCAGTTGTTACTAGCTTCGATGTAATTCGGAGGATGAATTCATTCCTTTCACAGCCCGTTTCAACTTCAAATGAAAACAACGTCACTTATAATGAATATGTGCACACAATTGGGCTGCTGCCGATTGGGATAACGCATCTGCGTTATAATCCACAAGATCACCGGATCGAGTTTGCATAGGTGTAGGGGACCTCGCGATATCCTTATCGCGCGTCCGACTGGAGATGGCCACGTGGCTGCCCAGGCATCATCAATGCAGCCTACTGCCGATGCCTCTTTTCCCAAACGTGTCCATGAACCGCAAGATTTGGACATTGCTCAAAGCGATGTGAACCGTCATATCTGTTTGTGTTGTAGCGTTAAACGGTTATGCGTGATCAGGTTAACTGTACAGTTATTTAATTCCTGTAGATCACCGTGGTATAGGATCTTGCTTGATCAGTACTGTCGGGTTGCCTGACCACGAATCGAACTTCAGGCTATATTTTTCACCCAACAAATACACAGTGCATATTGCTCGTTGTTTCATTCTTACTTCCGCTTATCTACCACTAATGTATCTGCTATCTTTCTACTTCGATTCTCCCGTTCACTTGATTCAATGATTTTCACAATGTGTCTAGTACTCGTTCATCTTGTTTCTACCGCGTATGCAACGCTTTACAACCCCGATCGTTTCATTTAGTTACTGATTTTGCTACTCTTACGATTAGGTCGAATCCGCTTGTGCCCACAGCCGTTTATGTGCAGCCCGTTTGACGACATCAGCTAAGGTGAATTCGCGAAGTAAAACAAAACGCTGTTTGTTTGTGATTTCTGCTTATGCTCCCACCGACTGCAGTTCTAATGCAGTCAAGGACACTTTCTATCACGAACTGAACATGCTGCTACGCAGTACTACTAGTTCAGATATTATAGTACTTGCAGGGGATATGGACACACAAGTAGGGCGTCTGAGCTCTTCAGAAGCTCAGCTGGGTGGTAGTTGTTGGCTTAACTCCGAACGGACTGACAACGGCGAGCGTCTGCTGCAACTGTGTGCGGAGCACCAGTTGTTTCTTACTAGCACTGCTTTTAGACACAGTGGGCGCTGAAGTGCCACTTGGCGTCCTCCTGTAGCTCTCCAGCGATGGACCCGAATTGACCACATAGCCATAATTTACAGGTGGCGCGGTTCCATTCTGCATTGCCGCTCGTACTGGAGTACTTGTGTCGACTCTGATCATGCCTTGGTGCGCTGTCGTTTCTCCATGAACTTTACCGGAAGGCGCACAAAGCGTCTCCCCCGATTGGCAACGGAGAAATTGTCCCAGCCCTCGGTCGGGCAAGCCTATCAAGAAGCACTGCATAGCGAACTCTCGCTGTCTTGTGCTAATGACACCTAACTTCAGTGGAATAGGATCTCGGCCGCCATGCACGACGCAGGAGCATCTGTTTGTGGTACTATCAGTCGTCACCGCACCAGTCACTGGATATCCGAGAGGTCCGTGAACCTGTTGGAAGCTAGGAGGCACCTCCTGGCTGGTTCTGAACACAATATGACCAGACGGGCTATTAGGCGTGAACTAAAGCGGAGCCTACGTGCTGACAAGGAAGCCTGGTGGACCAGTCGGGCTCAAGAAATGTAGGAGGCAGGAGCAGTAGGCAATTACCGGAAGCTCTTCCAGCTAATCCGCACCACTGGTCCCAGAAAACCAGACGTCAGTGAGACAATCAGGGACAGCGCGGGTGCGCTGATACACAATAAGGAGCGCCGTATGGCTCGTTGGGATGAACACTTTGAAGATCGGTTCAGCTGGCCCCCTGCTGCCGGACCTCTTCCTACTCAGGTGATGCAGGACGTGCCATGGACGGTTAGCTTAGAGCCTCCGTCGGAGGCCGAGGTCCGAAACGCGATCACAGCCCTCAATCGTTTTCGTGCCGCTGGCCCGGATTCCCTCCCACCTGCACTATTTAAGGATGGAGGTGAGGTCCTCTGCAGGGCACTGACCTCCCTATTCGAACGTATCTGGAACTAAGAGAGTGTGCCAGCTAATTGGAGCGAATCGATTATAGTGGTGATATACAAGAAGGGCAGTCGCACAGACTGTCCGAACCGCAGGGGTATTAGCCTAACGCCAGTTGTGACAAAATTACTGGCCTCGATTCTCGTTCGTCGCCTCACTGCAGAACGGGAATCTCGGATTAGGGAAGAGCAGGCCGGTTTCCGCCCAGGACGTGGCTGTATAGACCATATATTTACTTTGCGGCAGGTTCTAGAGCAGCGCCACGCATACCGCAGACCGACAATAGCTGTGTTCCTCGACTTCAAGAGTGCGTTCGATTCAGTCGATCGATCGATTCTGTTCGAATTACTTGCGCGAAAAGGTGTTCCCACGAAATATGTGAACATCCTTCGTGCTCTATACTCGAACACTACAGGCCGCGTCAGGGTCTATGGTGTCCTATCGGATAGCTTTTCGACTACAAGTGGCGTTCGTCAGGGTTGTCCGATTTCCCCATTTTTGTTCAATTTCGTCGTGGATTCTATCATGGAGTGTTCCCTTGCGGAATCTCATGATGTAGGCGTTGACGTGCTGCCTGGTGAAAGGTTAGTTGATCTAGATCATGCGGACGATATCGTCTTGCATTTCGACAATGTTGAGGCGGCACAGTCAACCCTGAATAGCCTATCCAAAGTGGTCCCATTATTTGGTATGCACTTCGCACCTTCAAAGTGCAAAGTGTTGCTGCAGGACCACCAGCCACTTTATGGCCCCTTGACGCTTGCTAACAAGGAACTCGAGGTGGTTGATCATTTCACTTATCTCGGCAGCTGCATCAGCAATGATGGGCGCATAGAAACTGACGTGAGCTCACGCATTGCAAAGCCCAGAGTTGCCTTCTTGAACCTGCGGCATCTTTGGCGACAGAAGGGAGTTTCCCTCCGTCTGAAAGGCCGTGTATACAAGGCCACGGTGAGGGTCGTTCTGCTCTATGGTAGTGAAACTTGGCCACTTCGGTCTGAAGATCTGAGGCGCCTTCAAGTCTTTGATCATCGTTGTTTGCGAAGCATTGCTGGTGTCGGATGGCACCAGCGTGTCCGCAACGATGATGTGCGTAGGCGAGTACTAGGTGGTGATAATCATGCTAGCTCCCTAGAACAACAGATAGCATTGAATAAGTTGCGTTTGCTCGGGCACGTGCTACGCATGCCTGGTCACCGCTTACCTAGGAGGGCCTTGTTCAGTCTACCAGGTGTAGGATGGCGCAAGGCTCGAGGTGGACAGAAGTTGACTTGGCAGCGGGAAATGAAGTCACTGACAACTAAACTGGGTGCCGTTGGTCCGTCTCGCCTTCCAGGCTGGAGTCCACGTGACTCACCTTGTGCTTGGCTTGAGACTTTACAGGACATGGCTCGCAACCGACACCAGTGGCGCGTCTGCTGCCGTCTCCTAATCGGATTGTCTGTTTAAAGTGTGTTTGGTGCTGAGTTATCTGCGGGGTAATGGCTGATTATGACGCGTGGCAGTGAAAGCCGCAAGGAAGCTGTCTCGCCGATGCCGCCTTATCTTTGCACGATAGCCAGCTGTTTGTGACGGAATGTTGTCTACACAAGGTGTAGGCGCCTTGACCCTAATGTTTGCTTAGGGCATTAAGGTTTTCAGGTAAGTCCCCCTTCTCTTCCTCTTCTTATTCTTTATTTCATAGGTCCTCATGGTTGTATGGCAGCGAAGCATCAGTTCAAATGGCTGATGTACTGCTGTTGATGATGATGATGATGCTTGTGCCCACATACTTAAGGTACGAACAAACTTGGGTTCTTGGATGAATAATTTTCATGTAAATCTATTTGCGCGCAGACGATCAGTACCTCACGAAGTGAAATCACATTTTCTGATTCATGGGCACCCCATATGCGTCAGCTGACTAAAACATAGACACAATTTTACTGGCCTAAGTTATGAAATTGGTGCGCTGCTTGATTTTGCTAGCAGTCATCACGAGCCCAAGTTGTACTCAAATTCACTTTTTCATTCAGCCTTAGACCAAACTTCGTTCCTTTTACGCATGGGAGTTTCCAGGGAGATTGCTTCAGTCTAATGTTGATAGGTTTATGTTCTACTGTGGTGTCTCATCTCGCCTACAGCCATTTGATGCTGAATGGCATTGATGCTTCATCACAAACTACTGCCGCACTGATAACACTTTTGTTGGCTGGATACGATGGAACGTGAACTTTCATTGACTTATTGGCTGACATAAAGTTGTCAAACTAGCCATTAACTTGTCGAGCGAATCTGTAGGCACGATGGGGTGTCTTCCATCTCGGCTATCGTCCATCATTCCTGTCTAGTTACAAATGACCACAACAAAACAAATGTGCTTTTTCTTTTTCGCAATCACGAAGAGTCTGAGGCCGCTGTGATGAGCAGTACTTGTCCCCGCTGTCGCCCCATTGTTACTTTCCCTATGCTTCGGGTTAACTCCGCGTACGCAACTCATCCTTTAAGGTGTTTTGTGAATAGGTTTGTCCACCTATATTTGAGCAGTCCGATGTGTAAAACACATCCTCTCTGCCTATCGCCCTATCTGTATGTTTTCATTGTTTCAGGCCTAAGTGGCGCCGGAAAGTCTACACTCGCGTTCTATCTCGAGAAATGCCTGGTTTTCCATGGAATTCCAGCCTACGTCCTTGATGGAGACAATATCCGCACTGGATTAAATAAAAACTTGGGTTTCAGCGTGGAAGATCGGGAAGAGAATATCCGGCGTATTGGTGAAGTTGCCAAATTGTTTGCCGACGCCAACAACGTGTGTATTACCAGCTTCATCAGTCCATTCGCCAAGGTATGACATTTTGCTTTTAACTTTGTGGCAATAGACTGCACACAACGTCCAGCATCAGTTGTGATCCTTCCAGTAGCTAGCGTTCTTTTTAGATTGGATTGTTATTTTTGAATGGGAACTCGGTTAGCCGTGCTCCCCTGCATGCTCGCTGAACTGAGTGGTTGAGGACAAAGTGCGCTGGAGCTGTTGCGATTTCACAATTCACTTATCTCATGCCGTGGTTACTTTCGCGCATTCTGTTTCCAGTGCATGTCCAATAAGATTTAGCCTGCCCGTAGTCTACAGATAACAAGCTTCTCTTGTAATTTGACGGCGCGGGTTCGAGCATGCATAGGGGCAGGGTGACCATCGCAGTATCATTAGCCCACGTGCGTAGCAGTGAAGCGTCGGTACTGCCTACCGGCGTACTGCTGATGCGGTGCGTTTTTCAGTAGGATATCATCGAGCGACAGGCTGCTGGAATCCTGAATTACTTTGGAGCCAACTCATGTTCACGAGGGAAGTGTCGCCCAAACAATCACGTAAGTTCGTGCTCCATTACCGCTGAATCAACACAACCACACTAGACGGCGAGTTAGGTCTGAAATCTTGGGTTACCAGCCTATTAGGCAAAATTACTTTAGCAACCATCACATGCTGATCTGAACATGAGGCGAATGGTCTGCTTGACATGTGTCCATGGTGGGCTGTAGTGCGGTCGCCTATCATCAACACACTCTTTGAATATATACATTTTGCGCATCTAGAGTGCACTTATGTCCCCTATGACCAAACCTTGTTTTCTTTCTTGGAGCTATTCGCCCACGGTTTCTCGTTATTTCCTATGCCATATAAAGGTTACACGATGACACTGGTTGGGAAAACCGGTTTCCCGCCCCTGTTCATCATGATAAAGGTCCTTCTGTCTGCTATACTTGCCACAGTGAATTTTTATTCCGTTACCTTTTTGGGATCGGAATTCTATCTGGTGTTCAGGAAGTTTCCTTATTTTCGGTGTTTTCGGCCGGCCAAACTGCTTCGCACTGAGTTGGGACAGATTACTTGTCCGTCAAATTCATCATTTGTTTGTCCTCGTTTTTATCGACTTCAGTTGAATTTGTCGAACTTAGGTTATATTTCGCTTCCTTTGTTGCTTGCAGGATCGTGATGCGAGCCGCGCACTTCACGAGAAAGCCGGTCTGAAGTTCTTCGAAGTTTTCGTCTGCTCTCCTTTGAGTGTTTGCGAACAGCGCGACGTCAAAGGACTGTATAAACGAGCTCGTGCGGGCGAACTCAAAGACTTCACAGGATTGACGTCAGCTTATGAAGTTCCAACCCACCCTGATCTGGTCCTGCATACAGATGTGCAGAACGTAAAGGAATGTGTTGATCAGTGTATCCAGATGTTGGTAAATGCGGTACGTTCACAAGTGGTCAGCTCAACTTTTACTAGTAAGCGGGCTGTTAAGATATTTCTTCTACTATTCTCTCAGTTTTCACATCCTAGACGCTGGGACTGAGCATACACCAATCTGATTCGTTCACCTTATTGATGGAGTGCACACAGTTTATCCAAAGCTTTGCAACTTACATCCCTGTAGCTCCCCGAAAGTCAAAACAAAGTCTGGACAGTGACCAGTAATCTATTATTCGTGAACCATGAATCATTCGTACCTGGCATGCATTTGACACGTTCCCTCATGATAGCTCTTCACTGGCTATTTCTTTCAGTCGCTCCATATGTACACGCTGCGTTCAGTCCGCCTCACACCCACCTCGCCTTGGGCTACGTGGAAGTTTGCCGATTCTATATCGCATACATTCAGGGTTATCAACCCAACCATTATAGTCATGTTCAGTTTCCATAGACGGCAGTTGGTCGGCTTCCTGCCTACTGGTCTCGCATCGATTCCGTTCGCTCAGCTGTCCAGGCGCAGTTAGCTTATACTGGTTCACTGTTATCCTGTCTCATCGGCCCCTCTTGTCTGCAATCACGCTGCCGTTCTCTCTTGCTAGATCGAACCAATTCTACTTTCCCCCCTCCCCCGACATGGAAAATCGTGTGGACGGCGCTGCTTTGGATTCCTGTCCACTGGTCCTGTGTCAGTGTCACTCGATAGGGCTAGAAACTGTCATCACACTTTGCGCTTTCTCACGGCGTTTATCCGGAAATGATGCAGCTCCGAGTGCCGGCCACGCCGATATGAGTATTGCCCTGAGTCCACGGGCTGAAGCTGCTCTGGTTGATTGGATCCCTATCAGTAGCTGGATGTGTGCGGTCCGACTGGCTGGCTTCGAAGTCGCACGGGGCTTATAGAGATCTGTTTGTTATCGCTGCCTACGCCTCCACAAATTGTGTCCCTGACTCACTGAAAGATGACTTCTATCGTCAACTGAACGAACCCCTTCATCAGAGAAGAAGCACGGATACTGTGGTGCTAGCTCGGGATTTGAAAGCTCAAGTTAGACAACTGCCCAGTGATGAATTGCATCTGGGCAGCTAACACGGTGCAAGCTCCTGTAGTGATAAGGGTGATCGGCCACTTGCTTTGTGTGAAGATGCTCGTATTTTTCTCGCGAGCAGTAACTCCCAACACAGCGCGCCGGAGGGTGGCATGGCGTTCACCAGCCATGTACGCAAATCTATCATTATCGTGCTCAGATACTGCTGGAAAGGCTGCGTTAACAACTGTCGCTCAAACTAGAGCACATATGTGGGCACTGCCCATGCACTTGTATGTGCTGATTTGCGGTTGCGTTTTAGCGGATGCCTGCGACGACTCTGTGAGTGCATAGACACCCGCTACTAGCAAAGCCAGATGTTCTGAATGTGCATCGGAGTACGCTGACATGCGAGTTGAGTAAGCGCTCAGTGAATACTGTTGAAGGTCACTGTTTACATGTTCACCAGACCTTATTAGCAGCAGCTGAATCCTCATGTGGACATTGGGTCTCTTCGCAGTCTCTGGGACTTGTCGATGCTCGCTGGCACATTCCGGCTGGAAGCGAACACAATGATACTCTCAAAGACCTCAGGGCAAAACTCCGTGTTAGCCTGAAACTGACCTCGAATCCTGGTGGTCTAATCGTGCGTCGAAGACGGAAGTTGCTGCTGTCTTTGGTAACCATAGTAACTTATTCCGTCTGATACAGGAACCGGGCAACAGGAGACCTGGTGTTAGTGAAACTATTTATGACGACAGTCAACAGCCTATCCACAATCTGTCAAAACGTTTGGAGCACTGAACCGATCACTTTGTAAAGCAATTTAATCACCCGGGATTGTTGGATTTCTTGCCACCTAGTGGTCCTCCTGCTCTTTGGACTGTCCCTATGAATTCTCGCTCTCGCTCAGAGGTCGAGCATGACATCAGAATGCCGAATCTGAATAAGGCCGCGAGAGCAGGTAGATTTTTTTCCAGACCTCTTCAAATTCAGGGACCTGCTCTTGTGGGTGATTTACTAGATACTAGTAAAACTGTTTACATTCTACTTTCCCAAACCTACTTGAGCCGCCCAGTTATTGTTCAGATCTTTAAGTGATGCCCACATTCGGAATGTGGCAACCATGAAGGAATCAGTGATCTCAATTGTCTCTAAACTACTTGCCTCTGTCACCCTCCATAAATTGACTTGCATCCGTGAAAGCCATATGCGTAAGGAGCAAGACGGTTTTTCTTGAGGTCGGGCTGCATCGATCACATCTTCACCTAAGTACAATTTTTTGGTGCACCGCCACGTCTATTGGCGACCCACCGTAGTCACGTTTCTCGATATCAATGATGCCTTTGATTCGATGCATCGATGTGCCCTCTAAGACAGTCTGTTGAGGAAAGGTGTGCCCGAGAAGTATGTAAATATTATGCGAGCGTTTTACGCGCGTAGCTCTGGCAGAGTGGGGGTTTACGGTAAGCCATGGCCGCCCTTCAATATCCCCAGCAGTTTAAGACGAGGATGCCTGCTGTCACATTTCCTTTTCAGCTTCGTTATCGACGAAGTAATGGAGATCACGTTCTATGGACACGATTCAGAAAGTTTGGAGTTACTCCTAGGTGAACAACTTCTTGACTTGTAGTATGCTGGCGATATTGTCCTCATCTGTGACAGCTCAAAAATGTGCTAAGCGGCACTGGACTGATTAGCATTGGCTGCCAGCCGTTTCGGGCTTTACTTAACACTTTCCAACTGCAAAGGTTTCATCCAAGCTTGGCAAGGACCGCCTTCTCTGTCTCTTGGTGAGGATCAGCTAGAGCTCTGTTGTATCAGGGTCTGTGGAATTGAAGTTCTGTGCACTGAAGTGCAGTGGATCCAGTTACCACGACTCATACCGGATAAATAACAATAAATAATAACGGCGATAATGGAGCTGAAGGCAACTAGAATGAATTAAATTGGAAACAAGTAGGAAGTGCGTTAAACTAATCAGAATGGAATGCAAAGTAACAATCAGATGAATGAAACCGCATGCAGGAAAGCCACTGACTTCGTGGCTGCGTCTTGTCTGACACGGTTTCCAACCATTGTTGTGGACTGTCCCTAGGCCATCATCCAGGAAGATGGCAAGCACCAGCCTGATCCAGTCTCTCATTCGATTTCTGAAAGCTTCTATGCCATGTTATGGACTGGTCACCTCGAGGTTTCGGCCAACTTTGTGCGGCCACGGCGTATAATGTACGCCGTGGAAGCCGATCAACGGGGCTTACGTAGGGCATGGCCTAGCCATCGCAAGCGACTAAGATTTATTACACACTCGAGACTGGCACCAAAAGGCTTCTTGCCATAAACCAGCTGGCGGACCTCAGCACTGTTCACCTGGTGTTCCCACCAAATGTGAGCAATACTTCGCAAGTACCGGTGGTCAGACACACCCAAGAGTTCAATGTCATCATTACGAACTGGTCATGTCTCCGATCCATCCAGTAACACTGGCCTTCTCACAGCGTTATACACCATAGCTGATATCCCACCGTCTCCAAAAATCGTTGAGCCTCTCGAAAGCCACACGAGCCTTGCTAATACGCGAAGTAATCTCTTCACTGATGTGACCGCCAGAGATGACACAGCTACTAAGGTAGGTGAACCGATTCATCACATTCAGTGGCTGTTTGGAAATAGCTAAAGCCGGAGGTGTGTCTACCCAGTCCTGCAACAGCGCTTTGCGTTTTTAAGGTACAAAGTACATGCTGAAGCGTGCAGCTGTACGCACAAGTCTGTGTCATAATGTTTGCATAGCGAACGCATCATTCCCAATGAGAACTATGTTGTCCGCATAATCCAAGTTTGTCACTCGGCCGCCTGGCAGAACTTCCACTTCAGAATAGTCTGAAAGAACCGAGTCATGCATGCTCATTTCGATCACAAAGTTGAAGAGGAAAGAACATACAGGACAACTCTAGCGAACACCACTTGTCATGGGGAACTTGGGAGCGAGTTTCCGGTAGACCCTTACCCTGCCTCAGGAATCATGGCAGTGAGACTTTAGAATGGAGAGGAGTTTACCTGGCACGCCCTTCACGGACAGGCTGTGTCACAAGCTGGCGCGGTCAACAGAGTCGAATGCGGCTTTCAAATGAAGTAAAATCACCGCAGTCAGTCGTCTGTATGTCTTTGCGAAAAGTAAGTATATGGTCGATGCAACTACGGCCAGGGCGGAAGCTGGCTTTCAGTGCTTCGGTCCTCACGGGGACCAGTAAGTCGTCGAAAAATGATACCCGTGAGAAGTCTTGAGGCAATGGAACTAAGGCTACTGCCTCGATGGAATCAAAGAGGAGGTCACGAACCGTATAGCAAAAGCTCTAGGCGCTTTTGCTTACGTTCGCCACCTGTGGCACCGACGCGCGCACTACGCAGCCGTACGTCCGACCCTACTGTACGGTTGTGAAACCTGGCGTATTCGATCAGCAGACATAAAAGATCTAGTTACGTTTGACCAACGGTGTCTTCATACTTTGGCTCATATCTTGTGGGAACACCGTGTGAGCAATAAGCGTGTTCGACGCCTTGTTTATGGCGCAGGAAGAGGAAGTGAACCGCTCAGCACCGTTATTTCACGCAACTGGCTCCGATGGCTCGGCCACGTGTTGCCTATGCCAACACACCGACCCCCGCGTCATGCGTTGGTTGCACGCCAGGGATGGGGATAGAAGAAAAGGTTGAAAATCCAACTGACTACCTGGTCAAGATGAATGAAAGCCTTAGTTCGAAGTTGGCCTCGGTTGCAGCCTCTCGGCTTCCTGGTTGAGGTCCGAAAGTCGGTGAACACATTTGGCTGCATCCACTTGTTGACGTGGCGTTTGTGTTGTGAGTGTTTTCCATACCCTTCCCGTTTAGCCTCCCCCCAACCACGATTTCATTTCTGATGAACAATACAACTACTTTTGCGGCACAATAGCCGACTACTAGCTCTCCGGAGCGATATCTATCTGTTACTGGTGGATCTGCTTAAGTGCGTCTGTTGCGTGTTTTTCTTTTTTTCTTATGTATTGCGACACTATGGCTGAGGTGTTTTCCACCTGTAGCTGGCGTGTATAGTGATTCTAATGATGGCGAACTGTTGCCCACAATTTCAAGTGAGCGCACTGGTATTTATTTGTGGTTATGACCTGTACCATTGGACCAGAGACGCCTGGTAAGTATTGGTATCGTTAAATCATGGTGTCAGTTGATGCAGGAGTTATATCCGCCGATGTCCTAGAGGACTCGGTTAGGTTCAATGTCCTTAATGAGAAACCACACACTAAACGTTTGTCCATTTTACGAATGGCTCCTGTGACCAAAACCGTCTTCTGGATGCACTGGTTGACCGCCACGTCAAACATTTGTCACATGCGCCAACAAATCCAATGTCCCATCGCTCGTCAGTGGGTCGTGGCTCTTCTCTAATTAGCTGACCACCATACATCACTCCGTTTCGAAAGTCTAGGGTTGTGTTTTAATGCGTGCTCGCCATTGTCGTTGGTCCATTGGGGACATAACTTGCCTACTAAATCAAAATGTGTCTTTCGTCATGTCAAGCGGATAGCGTTAGATTAAGTGCGCGGTTGGTTGTCACTCAAGCATCTCCAACGTCATAGCTGCTAACTGCGATGGAGACACCGGGCGTGTTCTATTGAGGAAACAGAAATGTGTGGATGTACGTGTAATTATTGCCCACATATAAATAACTTGAGGTTGATAGCAACGCATCGCAGTTTGCACGAGTCCTACTGCAGCTGGTGGGAGTAGGATACCTCACAACAAATGAACCACACTTGCGATGAGAGTGTTACTGACCGCCAAATTCAACCAGGGCACGATTGACATTCAGTTTATCAGCTGCCACCTGGTCACTTGCTTGTGGTCTGTGTTCATACGCGGGAGTAAGCTCGCTGATGAAACTAAAATAGCAGGAGTAGCTTGCAGAAAGAGAAATGTCGCAAATGGACCGGCAGTTACAACATTCTCTAGTAGATCGTTTCCTGAAACGAAGATGCTCAATGTAGATGTACCAATAATCCCTTAATTATATCACCTCGGTTAGTTCTTTTGACTTGCGTCATCTTCCATCTCATGAACGTTATTCCAAACCGACTCGATCTTTACAGACGACTGATCCATGCATCTTACGTTTTATCACCTGATAACTTTGAAGCAGTCCGGCAGAGCACAGTCTATGCGTAGAGTTTTCGACGTACTTACTCGAAAGGCATACGATGGATGTGACCTAACCGACTTACCCAGTGCTGGTATATCCATCACTAATCCATAAGATCTGACACTAACCGTCAACCGACCGGCTTCGTCATTACTCACGCGACGATTCCAGTGATGCATTACTGGGTCTGCAACAATCTGCAGACTGTGGGCAACTTTGCGCTGGCACTTGATTGTCATACGATCAAAGGCAATTAGTGTGAATGTCCAGACACCGCGTTCATGCACGATCGTTGAGCTTGCATTTGATTTGTAAGCAATCGCTTGCAAGGAAGCAAAAGAATATCACATCACCAGTCACATTACTAAATCATATTCTTATCAGTGTTTCTTTTCGCAAATCTGCAACGTCATCCTGAGGTAGTCGTAGGATGTGCCAAACACTCCGATTTGACTTTCTCGAACTTTCAGGGTCATACTGGTGACCACCTCAGTGGATAAGATCACGCGTAGTTTTAAATGTTCGTTTCGAATTAGTCATGTTCCGCTTGAAAGTCTTCGAAACAGAATGCGATGTTATCTTCACATGTCAGTTACATTTGCGTTGATTTTTATCGCACCTCGACATAGCGAGGTGCGCCTGAATAGGCATGATCGCTTTTCAACCTTGCCCGTCTGAGGAAGTGAAACAATTTAGACCTATTCCGGCAAACTTGTCGTCCATGTCACGGAATATGTATAGCTGATTTCATGATAACCATTCTCTAAGCGCTTGCACTAAATGTACACCACAGTTTGTATCACTTCCGTGAACCATCAGTCACCTAGTGTTAGAGCCTATATCCTGCAGGCACCGATCATAACATATCCAAATCATTATTGTATGCACAACGTCGACCAAGACGATTCTCAATGCACTGTGTGTATACGACAATCTTTAACCACTTGCCAACTATTGCTCACGCTGGCAACTATCCTCATACTATCATTTTCTCCCCTCTACGATTCCGTAATATAAATCAAATTTATATAGACATGTATTCTGAATATTTCTCGCTCTTGATGCAAGAGTTGACCTGCAGAAACTCTTGTGTTAAACGCAAAACGTAACCACAGTGCAAGCCCATACAGACTCGATTTGTATTTCGAAATTTCCGTAACTATGACTTCCCAGTTGGCTTCAAGCCTATATTCTTCGATTCATCAAAATATTGGTGGTCTTCATCTCTGTCCATTTACCAGTATCTTCTGCAAGTTACATCATTGTCATTTCACATGGTGACCAATACAACACGCGGATCCTTTAAATGCGATAGTTTGCTTACTACACGTGAGAAATCATCGATGAAACCGACAGTGCTTACACGTGGCACCCTATACTGAGCCCGGTCTGACTTCCGCGTTGGACTCAGGTCTTTGGAGATTTGTTCCTTTATCCTCTTTTTTTTGCCGATTCTTTCAGGATGTGATCCCTCCCATGTCGGAGACCAACCCCTTTGGAGGTCCCATGCCGATGGAATTGTTCATCCGCAACGAGCGGCGGCTAACGACCGTTCGCGAAGAGGCCAAATATCTGCCACAACTGGCACTGTCTCGAATTGACACCGAATGGCTGCAAGTTTTGGCAGAAGGGTGGGCAACTCCGTTACGCGGATTTATGCGGGAGGCAGAATTTCTGCAAGTTCTGTATTTTGGTCAAATTTTATCCAAAAGTAAGTTGTTCGGCAGTAGTCACTGATTTGCACGTGGGTAAACTTATCGACTATGCGGCTTCTTGAGAGTTACGCATAGTTGTTGCCGGTGATGTCTCGCGGTAGTCCTCAACTTTCCACCTGGCGAGTAGGTACACATTCCTGGTATGCCTTCTTGAAGCGGCGGTTGACGCATGGAAAACTGCAATTGCCCTCTTTCATCAACCACATTCTTTTTGTAGCGGTCGGCGGCACGTGTTACCGAGATCGAAACTTATCTTTCGGGTTTTCAACTTGATTATGTATCTATCTAGGGCAGGGATGTCCGAAGTCCGACCCGCAGACCAAATGCAGCCCGCGTTAACATTTCAAGTAGCTCGCGACCTCATGAAATAATAGATTTAAGCCTACATTTTTCCCCTACAGACGACATCATATATATTACAAAGGTGTAAGGACATTACGAGTACATAATTCTATGTCGTCAGATACTGGCAAATGTCTTCTTGATGTTTAAATAACTAGGAAAAGTCAACCTAGTGCCTTTGCTAAAGAAGTCTTAACTAAATCAAATATTACAAATGGTCTGCAGATCTCAGTTCCCCATCCATCTTAAAAATTTGTAATAAAATTTCTAAGTTATATCGGTTATGCTTATTATCTTAATGTCAGACTGAATATGGTTAGACATATTTTTACCTCACAGAAAGTCTCTCCTTTGTGAAAATTTTGGACACCTATGATCTAGGGAGTTCATGCTAGGGTGAAGCCGACAACCTGGCTCAGTACCGGGGATGTGTGCTCCCTAATCTGATCATATTAAATACGGTCACACTGTTCGTGTTGGCATAGTTTATTACAGAATAAATCGTTGTCAGGATTGAGATTTGCTCTAGCATCCCACATGTAAAACGAACACCACGGGGACAAGGAGTAGACATTAATACTGGTTTTAAGCTCGGATTCGGATGTGGTCTCTTTCAGTAGCATTAAAACTTCATGGAGGTTATTTCCTCATGATATTGTTCCTTTGCAGGAATGACATGTGGTGTGTGGCTACAGACTACTTTTTTCAACACGTCTTAGAGTTACTAGTGATTAGATTCTTAATGTTAAAGCCGAATCGCATAGCGATCAAGCAGAGTGGCGGTCATTTCGGCAGATGACAAAGGCATCAAACTCTAGCACAGGGATCCGCTCATCAAGTAGGGATCGTCACTATTTACCCAGACTGGGCAACCCGTCGTTGCTCGATACAGTCGAGCGTTCGGCATCAGCAGACGATAGGTCTTTAAAAGGTTGTTACCGCTTTTCTACCTTGACAAGACCATTCACTATCCGAAGTTCTGCGCTCTTCAAATCATTGCTTCCAGATCCTTTGCAATTCTGTATCTCTCTAAGGTTTGGGTCCGATTTTCGATTATCGCGCAGAGAAAATAGATGACTGGCTGAGTTACCTGTTATGTGACGCATTACTGTTAAGTCTGCGATTTCTGTCGTAGATCTGTATGAAAAAACACAACAGTGCTGGGCCAAACAGAACGATTACGATAAATCTGGTTTTGCACCTTCAACAGTTCCGCAGTTGGAATATATGACCAGCAACTATATATATATATATATATATATATATATATATATATATATATATATATATATATATATATATATATATATATATATATATATATATATGATTGGCGTCATCCGATTTCGGATTTACCTGTCACTGTGGCAAGCCACAGGATGCTTGCGCCTACAGAGGGGCTATGGGTGGCTTGCACTGCACCACCCACAGCTCCAACCACACACACCCCATATCCAGTGCAAACCCGAAGGAATAAGACCTGGAGACATGCGGATGGTAGCCACGTTTCATCAACGGAGCCGGCCCACACTCCTTCACAGGCAAACATAAGCACGCTGTACTTGGGAATCAAGCGCACACAAGGCGGTGGCTGGACCATAGTCCGCTCCACACTGAGTGCATGGAACCACTCTTCGAGCCTAGCACGGCCACAAGGACCGTGCGCCCCGTCCCCTCCAGCAACGATTAACTGTCTCCTGGAGCCAGTATGGGCGAGGTAGTGGGTAATGGTCAGGTAGGCAACTTGTCAACATGCACATCAAGCGCAGCCACACCGGGGATATTAAGCAACAGCCAATCACTTGAGAGAAAGTTACAAAGAAAATAAATCGAGTAATGCATAAGGAAACGGTGATCTAAATCTTAAATTAATGAGCATATGAAATAAGTTGTTTACAAAAGAATCCGAGATAAGTTAACAAGGTCAGAAAGTATATTTTACGGAAATGACGCAAACACGAATATGTTATCGAAATTAACTACAATTGGCTTAAGCGACGTGTGCAGTTTTATAGAAGAGAGTACTGGTAGACATTTATATGAGAAAGAAAAGCATTTGGACACAATTGCAAACCCACCACCTGAAATAAATAGACTTAGCATGCAAGCACGCGGTTAGTAAGTCGAATGCAGCGTGCCTACAAACGCTGTGCCGGTTCTGTCTTCGTTCTCTGCAGGACCCGTCGTTGCTTCGATGGTGGCCCCGGGTGGCCTCGCTCATGGCTCACCAGGCCTGCCTGACTCAGGCATTCGCGACCGCATGTGCTACAGTACCATGCGCTCGATGGCAGTGGAGTACAACCCATCGGTGCTAGCCGCTTTCGTAATTGCCGCTTCTTCTCTGCATGCACTTCGGCAACCGCCTTCGTGATTAGATCGCGCTATGCACGCCGATCAACTGCCTTCGATTTCCATGACCTGCAATCAAGATTAGAACGTGAGAGGCTCACTTTAATCATGTCCTGGTAACGTAACTTTGGTTTCCCCACATGCCGCTTCCCAATACTCAGCTGACCATTTAAGAGTTGTTTCGGTATCCGCGTTAAATCCATACGGCTCACATGACCGATCCACCTCAGGTGTCTCAATAAAAGTATGCAGTCCACTGTATACATCCCACTTTGTCACAACACTTCCGTGTCAGCAACTCTGTCGCCCCAACCGATGCGCAGAAACAGTCGCAGACGCTGTTGATGGAACCGCTCGAGATATCGCACATGCCGCCGGTACATCTTCCACGTTTCACGGCCGTATAGAAGAACGGACAGCATCATGGATTTGTACACCATCAGCTTCGTGCCAGTGGTAAGCTGATGGTTGTTCCACACTCGGTACTCAAGCTTCCCGAATGCCGCTGCTGCCTTCGACACGCGGATACGCAGCTCACTGTGCATCTGCTGATCAGTCGACATCACACTCCCAAGGTAGCAGAAGCGGGAGATGGTTTCTAATACTTCATCCCCAATGCTGAATCGCGGCAATATTGCAGATTGCACCTCCGGTGAAGGCTGAAAGAGACAGACAGTTTTACTTGTCTTGATGGTGAGTCCGAATATTGCCGCTGTCGAAGACAGAGCACTAGTCATGTGCTACAACCCCTCCCCTGATACGCACAAACAACGCACATTCGTCAGCAAACAGCAACATACGGATAGTTGTCTCACAGCCTAGAGTTCTCGCATCGAAACGACGGATGTTCAGCAACCCACCATCATTACGGTGCTCCACACGAACACCGTAAACACAAGCGGCATCAAAAGCACAAGACATCATTGCATGAAAATATATATTAAACAGGGCACGAGCTAAGACACAGCCTTGCTTCACATCAGAGACAATTGCAAACTCATCGAGGTCTCTCCACTCAGCTGCACCCGCGCTCGCATACCGCTGTGCGGACATTCATTAAACTTACAAACTTGCGCGGGCAACCAAACTTACCCAACACCGGCCACAATGCCTCGCGGTTCACCGTATCAAATGCCTTGGTGAAATCAACAAAAAGCGAGTACAATGGCTGGTGCCGTTCTCTGCACTTCTCCTGGAACTGACGAGCCGCAAACAGCATATCTATAGTACTGCGACCCGAGCGGAATTCACACTGTTCTTCCGCCACGTTAGGTTCCACAACCTGACTGACGAGGCGGTTGAGCAGGATTCGGGCAATCACCTTGCCCACAAAACTTAGCAAGTTGATGCCACGATAATTCCTGCAACATTGCTTGCTACCTTTGCCCTTATACAGTGGTAGCACATGGGCCTCCTTCAGCTCAGAAGGCAACTCCTCCTCAGTCCATACACGTTGTACTAAGTGGTGCAGCGCAGTCAACAACGCGGGTCCGCCATGTTTCATTCCTTCAGGCGGCATCCCGTCGGCCCCAGCACACTTGCCGTTTCTCAGCTGAGCAAGTGCTCTCTGAGTCTCATCCAGTGTCGGCGTGTCCGTCAGGCTCGTCTTCACATCGTGCTGCTTGAGGCCTTTCAGTGTAGGCCAGTCGATCTCTGAACGGTTGTTCAAGAGACAGTGAAAAGCTTGGTGGCAGATCTGCATTATGTCTGCAGTCTGTGTGCAGGTAGCGCCTAAACTACCATCGATCAGTGTCCTCAGCGGCTCCATTCTTGGTCCATACACCGCCTTCAAGGAGTCAAAGAATTCTTTGTGTTGGCGGCGTTCGGCGTAGCATTCCATCTGCTTCGCCTTCTCCGTCCACCATGTATTTTTATGCGACGGAGCTTTCGGGTCAGTGGCCGTCGAAGTTTGCGAAACTGACTCTTCTTCCCCAAGTCACTGGGATTTGCGACATGTGCAGCAAATGCTGCATTCTTCCCCGACACCAATGCGCCAATCGTCGCATTCTTATGAAACCAATCAGGCAGCTTAGAGTTTGCGCGCCCGATGGTCTCCTCGGCAGCAGCTGTCACCTGATCGCGAATGTGGTGCCACAGGTCGCCCACTGTAGCCATGCAGTTCACATCACATAGGTGTACGGCCATCGCCTTCTCCAGCCCAATACGTTTCGCCACAGTATCGAGGGAGAGAATGTTAAATTTACGCCGATTCACGGCGGGAGTGCAATACATAGATTTACGAAAATATATGTACAGTTTGGTCCGCACCAATTTGTGATCAGTGCCAGACTCAGCTCCACGCAGTACACGTGTCATGCGCACTTCACGCATATCACACTGACGTACGATGACATAGTCGAACAGGTGAGCATGACCACTCTGTGGGTGCGTCCAATTTGCTATATCACTCGCACTCAGTGCAAACCGAGTGTTCGTGATCGTCAGGCCGTGAGTGGCACTCAGTGGGAGCAGCCTGTCACCGTTCACATTCGCTGAACCAATGCCATGCGAACCGATAACATCTGTCCACGCCGATGCATCACGCCCAACGCGCGCGTTGAAATCACCCAACAGAAATAGTCGGTCGCTCCTCGGCACAGACCGTGTCACAGAGGATAGCTGAGTGTAGAATTGATCACGCCTGTGATCAGGATAACACATAGTCGGACCGTACGTGCTTATAAAAGTGGCAAACTTACCTCTCCCTAGTCGCAGGCGAACAGTCATCAGTCGCGCGCTGATGCCTGTTGGTTCACCCACGAGCTGGCCATGGAGACGATCGGATATTGCAAATCCGACCCCATGTTCACGTGGTGCTGAGGCGGCGTTGTCCACCCAGTAGAATGTGTAGCCAGCACCTGCTTCATGCAACTTACCTTGTTCAGCGAGCCGAGTTTCAGTGAGCGCCGCAATATCAATGTGGTAACGCGCCAGTTTAATTGCGACAAGTGTAGTGCGTCGCTCGGGACGCTCACTGCAGTTCCGGTTCAGTAGTGTCCGCACATTCCAGCACCCGATGCTGAGTGCTTTGCGCGCAGGCATACGGTTGCATTGGGGGGGAATCGCACGCGAGGTGGTCGTTGTGCTTCGGAGGTTTGCTTGAGGGACTCCGCCCGGGGCCTTTGGCTCAATAACCTGACCCACAAGGCAGTGGGGAGCAGATCCAGCTCGAGAATGTGTTTGCAGCGACAGATTGGGATCTTCAACTTTATATATATATATATATATATATATATATATATATATATATATATATATATATATAGACTTAAAACCTTTTAAAGCCATTGAAATCAACGGAAGATTTTAAGGTGCATTTATCGAAAGAGAAATGGGACACCTATGTACTTTTTTACACGCCATTTTTTCGAATGTTAGTCATTTAGCATCTAAACCTCAATAAATATGTACACAGATCTAGTTTCCATTGCGCGCCATATCTTATAGTGTTTCGGGCCATCGGCATTCATTGTCCTTTGCTCCCCAAGCATGTAGGCATGTGAATCCAACAGCAACTAGACTTGAAGTGGAAGATTTTCATGTGCTGTCACCGGCTGGAAAATTGACCATTGCATGGTCACTTCAGTCGAATCTTGCACTTGCGAACATGGTAGGATGGGGCACAAACGCTCAGATAACATACGAAGGACTCGGCCGAGCCATCTTAATTGGCGCAACAAACCCAACTTGTTGAAGGGAATACTTGCATCCCCTAAGGCACGACGTCTGACTTCACCGTTGCAGCTATGTTGTTGCCAAAGTCTGTGATCTGGCGCATGTCATCCACGCGACCTGCTTACGACTCCCTCCCATATAGCAACACCACTCGGACGGATGCGTAGTAAACCCAGCGAGCGAGACAGCCTGACGACGCCACAAGTATTTCACATTGACAAACGCCAATCAAGCCAACATAAGACCCGCCACTGTTCAGGTAAATAAGACTATCCACCTGTTCAAGCTGTGTATCTTCAAGTGTCGAATCGCAAGGCAAACTTCTGCTTCGATGGGTGGATCAAGTTTTACGACTCATGGTAGGCAGTTGGGATCGCAAGTGGACGGTGAAGGCCAACTGAACTAGGAATGGAAATATTCGGTTCATCGATCTAAGGTTCTCTGTAAGTTGGCGATGAGCGAACCATCTGTTTTGTAAAGAGTCTCACTGACACCAGACTTCCCGTGGCCATTGGATTGAATGAGCTGGAAGAGCTTGTGAATATTGCCATACAAGGCAGGGGCCTTATTTCCGATGCACCACCAGGCTTCGAAATAACTGCGTAGGCTTTGTTTGAGTTTTCGACTGACTGAACGACGCACTTCATTATGACTTGACTCCGTTGGGGTATTTACACGACGGTCAAGGAGGGCGTGGATATCCTGGCCTGCTAAGTGAGATCACAGACTGACTATCCAGAGGAGGTCATTGCATTCTGTATGAAAGCCCACTTTTGACCATTGCTTTGGAGTGGATCGCAGTTGAGTGCATTGACCAGGAACGTTCGATAGCTCAGTTGAACTGTGGGCGCTACTATTTGCATCGATGTTACAGTGCTTCGTTTTCTGGGACTCTCCGGAACTCATGCAGATGTTAACATAGACTAGATTACTGATTACTGGTTGGAAGCGGCAAGAAGTGATATCTCTGTGTAACTACTTCTAATATCACTCAGGTACAAGGACCCGTTAGGTTGAAGTGCGCTAGATATATATTTTACCGGCAAACTCTTGGTCCAGGGATTTTTATATTCCGAAACCGACTTTGCCTCAACTACATGCTACGGCAGGTTGTTCCATACACTCAGCACTTTCCGGTCGAAACAGAGTTGGTGAGCGACCCGCTTCAAATCTAGTACTACATGCTTGTACCGGTATCCTTGTTTGCCGCTTGGTGTCCGCAGCTACAGCAGCGGCCTCAACATGGGGTATTCACCGAGATGTAATATCCGGTGCGCCATGATGAGGTCAACCACCAGTCGACGATAAGTTAGAGTGTAAAGCCCTAGTTTCTTACACCGGTCTTCATACGGCACACCTTGTAAATTGGGTCTGGATCAAGAAATATGGACTGAATTTATCTGTAGTAACGTGCAGTGCATGTCGTACACTACCCCATCATCTGAAACTGGGATATGGTCAATCTGAGACCATGACTGAGTCGCAGAGGGGGTGCGCCAAGTATGCTTAAAGCAGGCACTCGAGAGAAACGATGGGGTTGCATTCTGAGTGGGAGCTAATAATAATATAATGTAATGCGTCAGCTGTACGCCGTAAAGGCGCTTGGCTACTGCGCGACCATCTTCAGTCGCGTACGGGTTGAGTATACCGCAAGGACGCTCGCCCCTACGTGGATTCGAACCTGTAATCTTATGATTGCAAGCCAAGGCTGCACACCACTCGGCCACCGGCTGAGTGGGAACTGGTGGTAAGCGGTTGTTTTGATGACTGCGAGTTTTAACAGGCGCACACAAACGCTGAGTTGCTGTAGGCGGGCATCAGTACATGGTACAAGGTGCCAAGCATTGTGTACTAGCCAGTACGTAAACTTAGAAAACGGAATAAGAAAGCGCATTTAAAAAGACAAATGTACATTCGCTTATGACTCTCCCTCAGGACATGAGTTGGATCAGTGATTTATCTGTCGCTGTATCTCATTTGTCGCAAAACACTAACTCGAAAGAGGAATAGTTATACTTCCGCGACTTATGTATGTCCAAGTTTAATACAGTTACTATGAGATCACACAGAAGCTAAGTGAGAAAAAAGCTTGGCTACATACTCTGTTTGGTGATTGAAGTGTTTCTGCTTAGCTACGGTGACTGCTTTTCCATGTATGCCGACTTAAGATTACGCGTACTGAGCCACTTTTCCCTCATTCTCCATTTTATTTCAGATGCTCGCGTGTCCAATTTCACTGTACCCATCGTATTGGCCGTGTCGACTTCGAGTAAAGAGCGACTGCATAGCGCAAAAGCCATCGCGTTGACATACGAAGATAAAACATTGGCTGTTCTGAGAGATCCGGAATTTTATCCCCACAGAAAGGTGCCCTGTTGTTAGTTTAGTCTGATGTGAAACGTTACATTCTAATTCGTGTCAGCAGCTTTAATAGTTATCACGCTAGTGGAAAACGGTTTACATCGACACCAGTCTACTCCTTCTGCATTTCTCTTGACTCAGAAGTCTGTGTAAGCGAACATATGTTTTCGGTCATCCTTCATCAGGCTTTTACCATTACATGAAATGCAAAATTTTTGTATACAGACGCAACGGGTCGTCAGTCAACCAAATTGTTCCTAGTGCGCTGTGACAAACCGTCGTTTAGGTTCCTTTGTAGTCGTACGCGCGTACAGGTCAACTGCAGTCCGTCCTGGCCAAGGTAGGCTCAACGTGTGAGTGATCCTTTTCTGCGTGCATAGTGCCGGTTCGTACAACCGAATGGCGATGGCTTCTGCGGCGTCTAATATCCGCTTACGGAAATACTTTGATCGATTTTCTGGGGCCTGATAGATTACTTTGAACGAATCAGCCGACTTGGTGGCGTAACCTGTATCCGCAAGATGCGTGGCGATGGCAGAGTTGGTGACGTTTTGGCCTCCATTTCCGAGCCAGGCCGGATGGTGTTCCCTCACCCTTTCGGATAAGCGTCTTGTCGTACGACCAACGTAGCCTGCTCCACAGTAACAGGTAAAGGAATAAACACACATTGATTTTGCGTGGACAGTCAGCTTATCCTTGAGGTTTAGTCTCACCATTGGGCTGCTGGTGAACCGGATTTGCAGCCTCGCCGCTGGGAAGGTATTCCTGAGTGTGGACGAGAGACGGCGGGATAGATTCTCTGATACTATTTCCCCTTTGTAAGGCAGTTGTAGGAAAATAGGTTTCCATTTCGCCGTCAGGACCATAGGTGCCTCCCTGTTTCGCCCCATATTGGCATTAATAAAATTCTCTGGGTAGCCATTCTCTTTAAGCGTCGATCGTATTAGCTGCAACTCTTCGAAAAGAGTATCCTTCAAGCAGATTCTTTCGGCCAGGTTCACGAGACTGAGGGCCAAGTTTCTCTTAATACGAAGCGTCACAAAGCTATGAAAGTTCGTGTATTGTCCATTCCAAATGCACTTTCGGTAAACACTACGTTTTACTGCACCACCATCAAGTCTTTGTAGAGCTACATCGAGAAAGTGGAAAGCGCCGTTTTCTTCTACCTCGTAGGTGAATTATATAGCCTTGTGAGCCTGGTTAAATACGCTGGTGAGCTTCTCGATGTTACCGGAGGTGTCAAGTAGGAGGAAGATGTCACCTACGTAACGGTGGTATAATGTGAGGCTACTGATAACCACCTTCAATTTACCGTGTTCCAACATACCCGTGAAAACATCAGCGAGGAATGGTCCTAGCGAGGAAACCATTGCAACTCCGTCGCGCTGCCGGTATATATCCCCGTTGAATAGGACCTGAACATTAAATGCACACCTTAGCAGTAGTTCTTTCAGGGCCAGAGTTGGTATGCCAATATTAAGATGGTTCTCGTCAACAAAGTTGCAAATGAACTCAATCGTTTCAAATAAAGGCACATTCGTGAACAGTGAGGTAACGTTTAGAGAACACATAATTTGGTTCGTGACGTTGACATCACGCACGGCATCTACAAACGCAAAAGGGTATGTACAGCGACTCGTCTACGCACAGACTCAAGGAGTTCTGCCAACCAACGAGCGATCGAGTGGTTTGGAGAGTTTCTCATGTCCAAAACCGAGCGAAGAGGACAGGTAGACTTGTGGGTTTTAGGAAGGCCGTAAAGCCTTGGAATGACCGTGCCCACGGGGCGTAGATTTTCCTAGACTGATTCGCTGATATAACCACCATTCTTAAGCTTATTGAAACAGACGCACAGTTGGTTTTCGATCTGCTTTGTTTTGTCTCGCTCACCAATCATTTTCAAGAATTTCATATTATCTGCCAATATTTCACCCATCTTGTTGAGATGGTCTACTCTGTTTAGGATAACAATGCCGGCGCCTTTGTCTGGACGGGTAAGCAGAATTTGGTGGTTCCTAAATAGTCGCTACAGTGCTTGCATTTCATATAATCGTAAAAGCCCGATGAAGAATTACCGAAAACATATGTTCGCTTACACAGACTTCTGATCAATCAATGGTTTTTTTCTTGACTCACTTTCTTTTCTCCATCCGGCCGCATTCAACCTAATTAGACCGGTTCCGCTAATTTGACCTGAATAGTTGAGCAGCTGGATGATAGACGGCTCTAGTTGTTGCATTTGTGATAGTTCGGTTGCTCGGACCCGACTCTTCTTGTGGAAACAGCCCCAAATTGACGCGCTTTGGCACCCATTGTTTGTCTCTAGCAATTCACACCAGGCAGGTCAATTCTTCGTGGTCAAATATAAACCCAATCTCAGAATGTTGAGAGCGTCCTATGGCTCTTTTCGAACTTAGTTGTGACTAAGAGCCCATTCCCAGTGGCATCTGTGATGTGAGTTTCTTTGTCCATTCCCCTCTCCTTTAGATTCCCTCTCCAATCACTACTTCATAGCAAATTAATAGTATGATGCTTGACCTTGCTTTTTAGAATTTTATGTATTGTTATTTTAATTATCTTTTTGTATAGCGGCACATTAGCGGTCCCGTTTCTCACCCTCAGCTAACGTGTATTGATGATGATGATGCTGTTGAGGAGGAGGAGGTGGAGGATGAGGATGATGATGGATGATGTCGCTGCTGCTGATGGTGATGATGCTGATGAGGATGATGATGATGAAGCTATTGCAGGCAGTAGTGGACGAGTTACCAGCTTGGCAATTTCGAATATTGCGTCTGTCTTGTGATTTACTGGTCACTAATTCGAATTTCCTTAGGTCTGTATGACCTCAGAGTATTCTTAACCCGCGAGCGATTAGAAGTAGTTGCATAGCAACGAAGGGTTGGTGCGGCGTACAACTGATAAATCTTTTCGGATAGATCAGCGTAGTACACAATACCACGGTTTCGTACGACGGTGATAGAGCCCAACCATTGCTCAGTGACTCTCTATCTCTCCATTGATGTAGAGCCGACCCTAGTCAGGTGGTCACCTGACAGGTGACCGACTGATATACCTTGATTATGCGGACGATGATGGGTCTGACACAGTGACTTTGCAAACACTACTGGATAGACCGGTGCGTAACACTGCACGTTTCGGCATGTGCTTTGCACCAAAGTGCAAAATATTGTTGCAGGTCTGAACCGATACGTCTTCTGTTCCAGATATCACCGAACAGTCACTAGAAGTGGTGGATCGGCTCATCTAGTAGCTGTGTCAGCTCTGGTGGTCACATCACTGAAGAGATCACTTCGTGTCTCAGCAAGGCCCGCGTGGCTTTCCAAAGGCTCAATCATCTGTAGAGACGGTAGGATACCAGCTTGTCGGTGGATATTAGGGTGTATAACGGTGTGATAAGGCTTGTGTTACTGTGTGGATCAGAGACCTAACCAGTTCGCGTCGAAGACATTAAACGCTTGATCGTGTTTGGCCACCGATGCTTACAGTGTTGCTCACATCTGATGGGAACACCGAGTGAGCAATGCTGAGTTCCACCAGTTTGTTTATGACAAGAAGCCTTCTGGTGCTTCACTGGAATCTTTGCTAAATCTCGGCCGCTTATGTTGACTTAGTTATGGCCTCCGTATGCCGGTTGACCGGCTTCTTCGATGTGCATTCTATGACACCACTGTCACCACCGTCGCAACAAGACTGGACGCCGTCGCAATGAGACTGGACCTTAACGTGGTGCGACGGTTTGTGTACCTCTGGTCCATTGAGCCATAAGGGCTGGTACCCCAGATCATCTTGAGAGCTACTCCTACCAGGTTGGTCAGTTGTTAGACGTCAGATAAACTCCGTCTTCTGGTCCCCCAGGTGGGAGGTTGGTAGTGGAATGGGGTCTAGTTCTGTAAAACCAATACATTACCACCTCTCCCCTGCCTTTCGGACAGTCTTATGAGCCAAAGTCTTTGGTTGAGGACCCTAATCGTCCCCTGTCCAGATATGGGAGCCCTGGCAGTATTTTAGCCCAACTACACCCATGACTATTTCCCTAGATGTCAACCACATCATACTTCGTCCGTCAACCAGCTTATCAGGGGTCACCTTATCTGCTGCATATAGCAGGGCGGATAAGCGAAAACAGGCTACTGCTGATGCCTTTCATTTTTCCATATGTTTTTCTTGCTCCCTGATCCACATTACTGACATTTTTTTCTAATATTCACAGCTCATTTGACAGCAGCCGCAATGCTACTGGAGTCTTGCCATTTGCAACTACCTTCCCATGCCACCCACTGGACACCTATTAGCAACAGCCCGTTATAAGGCCACGCTGTCCCGTTTCTCTTGCAACATTCAACATTCGCACAGACTGCACTCGCGCGCACATTAGACACGCTGGAAATTGATGTATGTTGTGTGTCCGAAACCTGCATCATTGACCCTCACGAGGTTGTTGAATTAACCGCACGGTTTATCCTCTCGCTATTGGTTGAACGCATCCGGAGACGCTGATGCGGTAACCACTGGTCAAGCCGGAGCGGGCATTGTTCTCCTCTCGAAAGTCGGGTCATCCTAAACATCCGTTTGTCGACATCAACTACGGTTGATTCACAAAGTTGTACAAGACGCTGTTTGTTTGTAATTTCACTTTATGTTCCCACCGACTGCTGCTTCCCGGTGTTACCAGCTCAGATATCATTCTTGTTGCAAGGGATATAAATGCTCAACTAGGTCGCTTGGGCTCTTCAGGAGCTAAGTTAGGTGGTAAGTATGGGTTAAAATCCGACCGGATGACCGGTGAGCGTCAGTTACAATTATGTGCGGAACACCGGCTGTTCCTTAGTAGCACCGCTTTTAGACACAATGAGCGCCGAAGTGCCACTTGGCGTCATCCTGTTGTTAGCCAGCGATTGACCCAACAGATAACGTTGCCATAAGTTACGGGTGGCGTGGTTCCATCCTGGATTGCCACTTGCTCTGGAATACTTGCGTCGAAT